CTATCTATCTATCTATCTATCTATCTATCTATCTATCTATCTATCTAATTTACTTGGATATTTATGAATAGCAGAAGAAAAAAAAATATTGATTTCCACTAGCTATCTAGTAAAGGATTGGCTAATTTGTTTCTTAATCTTAATTTTACATACAGGTCATATTCTCTGATGGTGAGTAGCGATGAGGACACTGTTGAATGGAAACCACCAGAAACAAAGCCAAAAGCTCCCAGTAAATCTGCCAGAGACCCAGCAGCTGGAGAGAAGCAGGCAACTGCAAAGAGAACTGCTAAACCAAAAGTGCCCAAAGAACCTAAAATTCCCAAAGTGCAAAAAAACCCTAAGCCAAGAGCACCAAGGAAACCTGCAGCAGAACGAAAGTCTCAGGCTTCTACAGGAGCAAAGGAATCTGCTTTGTCTGGTTTGACTTCGAGAAAAAGGAAACAGATTGATGGGGATTTTGAAGACGACAAAGGAAAAACACAGACTGACTGTCCAGAAGAAGCAAGGGCACATGAAAGTGGCATGAGAGTCAAAATGAAGGCAGAGGCAAGTATACATATAAACACAATATGTCAGTCATCTTTTTTAGCAGCAAGTTCAATTTGGTTTAATTTTCAAAATGCTGATATTATAGTTTAATTCAAAATTCCTATATAAGATGATCTGACATATTGACATATCACAAAACTTTGATTAACACAGCTTGTTCACAATCCACAGCCTATCTATTTTCTTTACCTTTTCATCTTTATTTCTTCTAAAACATCTTTTCTTTATGCTATCATTCTCTAGAGAGTGTCATTTATCGTGTCAGATGTTCACCAGACAATCAATCGACCAGATGAAGGACCGTCACAAACTGGACTTGTGGTCAAGAAAAAGGAAATGGAATCTGAAGATTTTACTTTTGATGAGCCTTGTCCAAAAAAGCAGAGGACTGCTGGTCAATGCAATAGACAATCTGCTGCTTTACCACATGCTGAAGCAGAGTCTTTGAGGAAGGAACTAAATATGAACTGGGACATGGTTGAGGTATGCAAAATCATATTACGGTTAAGGGAGATGCACTTAGCCCAAAAGCTAACTGCATGCCTACATGTGTTTTAGGAAAAGATGAAAAATAACATCTTTTGTTTTCTTGGGGCACGTTGTCACACGAGTCATTAGGAAAATTGACATTTTCCATTTAATGTAATAGCTGCTGTTTCTAATTCTGTCTTGCTGCCTATAATTCTAATTCTGCATGTATATGGATAGTTTATTTCTGTTTCTGCCCTTGCCCTCAGCTGCTCTCCTTCCTGACATGTGTGGAGCAGTGGGTCTGTATGAATATAGTTAAGCTGCTTCGTGAAGAGAATACGGTGCCTTTCATGGTGCGCTATCGTAAAGAGATGATTAACCACATGGATGCCGATGCCGTCCGAGACGTTCAAATTACATATGAGGAATTACGGTAGGCAAACTGAATGGTGCATAAAACACACAGATGTAAATACTAATGTAAATTAGATTCCTGTTAGGTGTGAAACTTCATTGTCGTTTACTCACAATGCTATTGAAGGTTTATTTCCAGAGTAAACACATCATTGTCCATTAGATGGCGCTATTGGCCAAGTGTTGAGTATGAGTCCTGTTACCTCTGTGTCTGTGTTGCTCTGTCTATGATCTTGTTGATTGATTGTGTTGCCTCAGTTCTCTCGCCAAGAAGACCCAGTCTGTCATTCAGACTCTGACGAAGGATGGCGTTTTAACCCCTGAGTTGGAGCGAAACCTGCGGAGTTGCCGATCAGCGGATGAACTGGATCATGTGGTCAGACACATCTGAGGGGCTCTTAAGCATTTCCTTTCTTGCCTTTCATCGATTTCTTATTGGAATAATAAAGATAAACTAAATTCCTTTAAATGTTATCATATTTCTTTGCATAACCTCTGTAAAATATGTTTTTTTATATATCTTTGAGAGTGACATGAACTTGAGCCTGTAAAGTGTTCTGAAAAGGCCCTCCTTGTCTTTTTTTGTTTCCTGCAGTATTCTCCGTATAAAAAAGGCAGTAAGCTGACAAAAGCCCGCCGGGCCAAAGCTCTTGGCCTTGAAGTAGCTGCTTCCGCACTAATAAATGCGCCGCATACTCTGGATTTAAGAGCATATGTACAGCCAGGGACTGAAGGTACGAGACACATAGTACCACCTACAAATACACAAAATGGGATGGAATTAGTTACTCCTCATGAAATGATTTAGCCCCTTTAGAAGCATTTCATCTAAGCATAGTATTAATCTGTGTTTGTGTCACAGGGCTGTCGTCGGTGGAAGAAGTAGCCACAGGTGTGGAACACATCTTAGCTGATATGATTGCCAAAGATCCTGAGACACTCACCTATGTCAAAACACTGTAAGATTTTAACCACTTAAAAATTGGGTCCTTTTTGTCTAGGTTATTTTTATTGTTTTCTGCAGTAACATCTGGCCACGTGAAAACATTTTTGTCTTCTTTTTTTTTTTTTTTTTACTACATTTGTTTATTATTCCTGGGACTAAATAATTTTCAACACTTCTTTGTCTTTGACAGATGTGAGAGGAACTTTGTGACCCTCCAGTCCTCTGTGTCTAAATCGGCCTTAAAGGAAAAAGAGCAAGACAAATCAGTCCAGGGCCAGAAGAAAAACGGGCCCGAACAAAACAAACACAAAGATGTGGATAAGTTCCAGCTGTACTTGGACTTTACCTGTAACATCCAGCGTATCCAGCCACATCAGGTAACAAGAGTATTCCATAATTCAATTCAATTAAATCAATTCAATTAAATTCAATTCAATTCAATGATTCATTTGTTTGTAGTCGCACTTTAATAGTTTGAACAATTTCCGGTTAAATCCAGAGTTTGAATAATCAGCTAAAGTTGATTTTTTCAGTCCTTCTAAACTGGCTTTGTTAAATTTTGTACATAAATAAGTTAGAATAAATGCAGCTAAAGCAGAGTACTGTTTTTGCAGTATTTCCAGCTTTAATAACACTATCGGCCTGCTGCACTAAAAACTGATGGAAAAACCACAAAATTACATCTTGTTGTATCCATACAAAAGCACTAAACGCTCAGTCTTCTGGTGAAAAACAAAACAACATGACAACTCTGTTATATTCTTTTCACACACTGAAAATGTGTTGATTTTACTTTTGATTTTTAAGCAAACACATAAAATAAATGTGTGACTTGAAATTAAGAAACAAAAAGCTGACTTCACAGTAAGAATAATAACAGTTAAAGTGATAATATGCTAAAGAAAATTTTCGATATTACACAATGTTTCCTTTGCTGTACATAATTTAATCAATTGTTGCTAGCCAAAGCAAATTTACTTTAGATTATAAAATCTGTTTTCAACAGTCCATCCAAAACAAAAACTTTCGTGGGAATAATGTAAAACATTACGTGTATTTTTCAGTATTATAAACAGACTTTGCTCGCACTCCTGCTTTTGAGCTCCGGCTGACATCACATCCCTAAACAAATGACCAGGCTGTAATATCTTTAAGGACAATTACCCCGGTAATAACCTCGATAAAATAGGCATGAAACAAGCATACCTGAACACAAATGCTTTTAGTGTTTTGGAGCATAAAAAGTTATTTACACCTGTGTTGTGTCCTTTTTACTTGTCTAATTGGCACATATAAACACACAATTGTGCATTTGTGTCATTTTTGTTTGCCTCAAACGTGCCAGCTCTGAATGCTACCCATGTCAGTCGAAGTTAGCCTTGTCTGTGCCTTCATATTTACCCCTCCCGTGCCCCTGCTCTGGCCCCTCCGCTCCCCCTCTGTCCCTCTAGTGACTGGTGGGTTACTCAGAGTTGGTCTCGGGCCTCATGTGTCACCACAGCTTCAATCACTCGCTGTCTCTGCCACACCACACTCTCTGGCAACCCTGCTCTGCCCTAAAGTCATTTAACCACGTACATGTGCATGCGCACACTTGGTCACACACAAACACAGCCTGCAAGTCCCCTGGTTCTCTCTTTTTAACATATGTGACATGTCCCCTGCCGACATGCCATTGGATTAGGAGGCCTTGATTGACAGGCGCGCTCGTGTAGTGACAGCTACTGCTGCTGGGCCCATAGGGGGACAAAAGGATGGGGAGAGGGGAGAGCGAGTGGGGGAAGTAAAAGGAAGAGTGCACGAACAGATGAGTGATGTTGAGGTGTGTTCGTCACTTAGCCCCCTCGCTCTGTTCTGATCTGCCCCTCATCCATCTTTTTCTGACTTAACCCTGTCCCTTTAATTCCCTCCTCACCTCTTTTTTTTAATTTCCCCCTCTCTCCTCTGTATGCGAGGCATTTAATTTGATGACTCGCCTTTGTCGTGGAGTGTTAATCTACAGGCTGCTGTGACCCTGTTAGCTGTCAGATTCCGGCTAAAATGAACCTTTTCTAGCCAAGAAGTTGGCGGGGGGAGGGAGCAGGTGGGCGATGTGTTGTGACAGAAGGCATGTGTGTTAGCACACACTTGCCCGCATGCTTTAGCACATTTTTATGAAGCCCTTGCTCTGTTGTTTGTTATTAGGAAAGGCCGTGAACAGAGAATGACGTGTTGTACCGAGGAACATTCTGCAAATCACTATTTTTTTGGAAGGTAAATCTGTAATTACAGTGAAATAAGATACATGGGCATATGTTCATAATTTGATATTTAAAGACAAATATAGTTTTTATTTTCTTGAAATTCTTTCTCTTTGACTGTGTGATTATAATTATATTCAAAGTCATTATCGTCCTTTAGTTTAACTGAGCTGAATTTTGTCTGAAAAGACCAAATACTTAAAATCAGCTAAATGAGTGATCCCCTTAAATATATTCTATGAGTATTTTGTGTTTTGAGTTCAAACTTGTAATACTAAATATGTCTCCTTTTTAAAGTGCAGTCACTGCTTTATAGATAAAGTTACTTTTGCAGACAGTTGCGGAATTTGTGAAAACGTAATGCTGGCAAAGATTTAATTCAATCAGATTTGATTTGAGACCTCCTTTGAAGGGTACATATTTACCTTATAGCGATTAGCAGCCACTGTGCTCATGAGTATGCCAGAATAGATTTGTTGAATGTGGCAGTGGGCTGTTTTAATGCGATTTGCATTTCGATCAAATGGGAGTTTAGCGCTCCGGTCTGGGGCGTGCCTGCAGAGGAGCTTGAGTAAATGGAACTGCTTCATCAATTAAACTGTCCTGTTTGATGGACAGGTGGATGAAAACAAGTTTAACTTTACAGCTGTTTTGTACTGTTAAAGATCCTTAAAGGCAAAAAAACATTTTTGTAATTTTCTTGTGGAAAATACATTTTATCATTTCTGAAGAGTTCACAACAAAACATCAATAAGCATTTGAGAGCAAAGACCAATAGGTTTTCTTTGTGTTTAGAGCTTTTTTGATGTTTTAAATGTAATATGTAACATTTAAAGATGTGAGGAAGGTTTAAAAAACTCTTCTTCTTTTAATCTGGACGTTCTTACATTTCTACATTACATTTTATGATCTTTGATGTAAACCAGACCTTACTATAAGAGCGGACATTCTCTCATGTCATTACATGTTTTTATAACCAATACAATACATAAAGGGACTGCAATTTAGTAGAAATGTATACATACATGCATCGCTCGCATACTAATTAACAGATTGGCATCCATTTATATATCGAAATAGGAAAATGCTCGTTGGCGATAAAAGATGAAAAGCTGAATTCATTTTCCAACTGACGATGATTTCACAGTAAGTTCCTGTTTGTGAGAGATTAACCACGATTAAATAGAGACATTTAAAGCTGACCTTAAGCTTCAAATAACTGATTTGCTTCATGGTATTCCACAAGTGTATCAAACCTAAATTTAGGAGAGTCAGATAGTCTGCTCATAGCTTGATTCAACTCATAAAACAGCCACATGTAATGCTGTTATACAGTGTGTCAGCAAGGTCAAAAAGTCTGGATACAATTCCTCAATATGTTGGATGGATAGATTAGTTGATGAGAGGATATTTTGAAAGAAAGGGGAGAGAGAGGAAGAGACGGATAGAGGATAGCTGTTGGCTAACTGCCCTCCCTCTGGGGCTAGTGAATGGGTTAGGAAGCATTGAAGGAAAACTGTCTGTCTGATCCTGTCAGAGTCTGGCTAGTACTTGGCTACCTGTCACTGCTTGCTTTTTTAACACATATATACACTTCTCGCTCTGTTTTGCATCACCCTTCCTCTCAGATCACACCATCTCCTACTAGTGAGCCTACACAGATACTGAGAGATGCACGGACAAAGAGGAGGCTGAGCTTAAATGTGAGGACAGTCGCAGAGACATGTTGACAGTGGGTCGTAAAGCTGAAGTAGCCTGATTATTTATCATAGTGACAGAAATCCACAGAGAATGGGGAAAAATGATTGGACAACTTTTTTCTCATGAAGCATAAAGATAGTTCAGATTTCTATTATTAATGCATCTTTGTGTTTTTCTAAGAATGTTTCTCTTTTGACATTTTTGTACAAATCTGAGACCATTTGTTGTTTAATTTTTGTTTACAAACTTTTTAAGGTGTATTGAGGTTGAAATAAATTTTCAACCCTGTAATGCACGCCGGCCATGTTGAGATGAAATGTCATCGCTCATTATGAAAATTACTTTGGAAATCCTAATCTCTGAACCCTAAAACCCACATTTAGCAAAGAGGTTTTGTATTTACTATTTTAATTTCACTCTTGGCCATCACAGATGTTTAGATAATTCAGAAAGAAGTGTTTTGCTTGCTTTCTTTGACAACGTGTAAAACTTCAGCGCTTTGATGAAGATTAGTTCAGAAATCTCATCAGTTACTGAGGAAGCCTCGGGCGGAAACATGCCAACAGAGGAGAAATCTAACTTTCATCTTTAACCAAGCAAACTTGCTGCATTAATCTTCGCCTCTTCCATGCCATTAGCAGTGTTTTTACATTTTTTATTTTTGTGTGTGTGTGTTGCGTATGGGTGCACCACATCCAAGGGTGCTGCTGAGTGGTAATGGTTGTGGCACCATGTGTGGGAGTGGGTGGGGGTAGGCCTTGCGGTCTCAGTGCTGATGGTGGCATAGTGGTGGCATTTGTCAGCTTGCTTCTTCCGCTTGGGCTCCAGATTGACGTCTTGCTTCTTGGCCCTGTTCTGTGGCAGGCTAAAGGTTCCCCACTGAAAAGGTCAGACACTTACTACTGTTTGCTGAACAACATGTAACAGTTCCTCTGAGGGAGAAGCAGCACCCAACAGGCCTGACCACCAGATGTATTCTTAGGCTGATTGTTTTTTGTTACACGTGTGTCGAGGCAGAGGATTTTGTTTCTGTATTCGCCTTATGATATATTTCTCATTTTTATGAGGTTATTTACCCTCGATCTTTATTTCAGATTATTCATACTGTAGCTCGGAGGTGCAGCAAAGAGGAAAAACAAAAGTCTTGAAATGAATTGAGAGTTTGAGAAATGATTTTTTCCTGAATTTTAACAGGGATGTAATGTAAAGTTCTTTTTTTGACATCAATAATTTAACTGGGGAACAAATGTTTATCCTTAAACAATCAACAAATTGACATCATTAATGGATACAAACCATCATCACTGATCACAGCTTTCTATATTTCATCTGTTTGTTATGTGTGCTTTTAGTGCTTTAAAGGATGTGTCGGCACGTTACACTAGTGGAAACATGTGCATTTCTTTCATGCCTGTGCACAGACACTGGCCATAAACCGAGGGGAGAGTCTGAAGATTTTGACAGTGAAGGTGAATATTCCCGACAGAGTGAAGAGTGACTTCAACCGGTATTGCATCAACAACAGGTCCGAAACACAATATTACACAGAGGCCCTCTCACACTGAATATCATGCCCGCTATGTTCAAGTTCAAGGTTTCATTGACTTTTCAAACAGATTATAGATAAATGAATTTAGTAGAAAGGAAAGCAGAAATTGTGTGAATTTCTCATTGATTTATTTATAATTTTGTTGAGAAAGGGTGGCTAGATTAGACAAAAATAAAGATTTTTTTTTGGCTAGCAGTATTTGCTTTCTGAAGAGTCAACTGAAGTTGCATGGAAATTAGATGACTTTTTCTACATTCTTTGTTGGAAAAGTAAAAGAATGGGCAACTTCCCACTTAAATACCCAGTTATCTTTACTTACATAAGTTATTCTTTTACTTTTGTTTTTTAATTTAAACAGAGGTTTTGAATATAACAACAGATGTTTAACAGATCACCTCAATCTAATTCCTTTTTCAGATTGAGCACATTTTGGGATTGGAATCATACTGTAAAGGAGGGTTCCAGTAAAGTGGAAGAAATGATTTCATAGTACCCTGAATGATCTTTTTTTGTTATACTGTTTTAAATAAAGGTGGAGGCCGAAGACATTTGCAAGAGAAGAACTTCATGCAATCATCAAAAATGCTGTGGAAGACTCTTATAAAAGGCTTATTTTGCCTTTTCTCACTAGAAACTACAGGTACTTAGATTTATTTTTCCTTTTGGTTTTATTTATTTATTTATTTTTTTTACTTTCATCTATCACACTAATTCCCACTCTCCTTATACTTGTCCCATTGGTCCTCATTCTTTTCTTCTTTTTGTGCTATATCACTTTTTTTTAACCTTTTCCATCTTACTTATGTATGTAACTGCATCATCTGCTCCCCTTCCTTTTTTTAGATGTTTTTTAAAAAAATCCTCTCACCACCTGATTGTCTTTTTTCTGTCCCCCTTGCTAGAACTAAGCTGACGAGTGCGGCAGAGAAGGAGTCCATCGCCATGTTTGTGCGGAACCTCCGCCAGCGCTTGTTAGTTTGTCCAATCAGGGGCTCTGTCATAATGGGGGTGGATCCTGGCTTCAGACATGGCTGTAAGATAGCAATACTCTCCCCCACAAGTAAGTCACACAAATTATATTTTGATTTATTGTAGACAGACAAACCTTCTCTCATGAAAACCACAGGGCCCAGACTGACCTTAAGCGTTTTATGACATAAACTCTGTGTTAGTGTGTTTTAAATTGGAAATTAAGAATGATGACAGTTATAGAAATTATAAATCTATTATCTTTTTTTTGTTGTGCAAAACCTTAGACACAATTAACAAATCATACAGCTGGTTATTGTGCTCCTTGAATAATTTACCTCGTTTTCTGGCTTGATGATTTTTCACCAAAAAAGGTGTGTTTACGTGTCAGATATAGGATGCCAGTTGGCATGACCCTGCAGAGTTGGTGATGTCTGCATATACATGCGCGGGCTCATTATATGTCTACTTTGCTGTATGTCTTGGTATGCAACTCTGTGGGTGTGGCCTCACACTGTGCAGAGATTTCCAACCCTCAGGGTGTCTGCTCCTGTGTCCACGATCATGCTGACACAGTTACAACAAATAGTCAGAGGCGTACATCAGGTGTCTGGCCCTGTGTGATGTGCTCATAGGTTTTTTTGTCCACTCTTATTCATGCAAACATGGCAAAGCTTGGGTTAGTTTGCAGCCCTAGAAAGTGAAGACAGGACAGTACCTGAAGTATCGCTGCCCCATCACTATACACTGTTTTAATTATGAATTAGTCCCAACAATGTTTTTATTTCCTCTCCTTCTCTTTTTGTTTGCTCTCAGGTCAGATTCTCCAAACTGATGTTGTATTCCTGCACAACACAGGGCAACAAAGAGAAGCAGACAAACTGCGCCACCTTATGATTAAATACAGGTACTGCGGTTATCATTACTTTCAGTTGAATTCACGCTTGTGCAAAATCCTGAAAATCCAATGTTTTTTTAACAAGGAAAGAATACTATTCCTATCTAATACTTTTAGATATATACTGTCTTTGTCTCATTTCATATTGATCTCCTCTGTAACAATTCTCTTAGCTGTACTAAGGTGGCCATCGGCAATGGTACTGCATGTCGAGAAACGGAGTCCTTCTTTGCTGACCTTATCTCCAGACGCTATTTTCATCCACTGGATGTATCTTACTGGTAAGTCTCTAATATATGGTGTGCAAGAATTATTCACCGTTAGTTATGAAACCAAACATACAGCAAATAATGGATTGATCACTGTTCAGAGGGCCCATTTTCATCACATAGTTTGATATTTGAGTTGTCAACATTATTAGTCATACCTTGTCTGAAATGGTAACACAATAGTGCAAAATCTGTAAAATTGGCACATGTACTTTAAACAGTGAAATGTTATCTCATGCACAGGCATTTTGCACTGCAAGAAGACATGAATCTGCTCAATGAATAAGGCAAACTTTCAAACAAATATAACGCCTATTATTGAACTATCTGATGTTATTTAGACTTCTCAGTCGCGTGTGTGTTTGGAAAAAGTACCATGAAACTAGTGGAGTAAGACAATGTAGTTTCTGAGATGGGAATCAGTTTGATCAGGTGTGATGATGCGTGAGGAATTTTGATACAAGACGAGAAGGTTTATTGAGGGAATGATAGGGAAACGGAGAGATAAGGAATCTGAAATATCAGATGTCTGGCAAAATGTGTTGTGATAAAACTGTACAAAATGTGGAGAGACAAATTGGAATGCGTCCCCAAGTGAATATGTATTAAAGCCATCTGGACTTTGTTTCACTTTACTCCAATCAAAGAGACATTTTGAGGTCCAAGTCCTGTCTGTAACTAGACTCGGTCCAAACTTTAGAATGCAACAACATACAACTGCTGTCCAAGTATAACAACTGCTGGTCTCCCTTTACAGCATCTCTTTCATTCTCTGCTGAGTTCCATGTGCGTTTGTTGACTTGAGGTCAACAGTGGGACCGCAGACTAAAGTGATTCTGAGCTATACGTAAATCTGTATGTGGGCGTTTTCTCTGTACCCTTAAGTACAGGCATAGAGGGCATTGGATTTCAACACTTTTGGTGTGCTGACCTAGAATTCTTTTTTCTAAAGTTATACTTTCCCTTTCAAGAACACACTAGCCAAAGTGTGGCGTTTATTAAGTTAACATCCACTTTATTATTTCTGTCCACGTCCACACGGTTCCTTCTTTTGAGTCATCCAGAGCAGCTTAATTTCACATCTTGATATAATGCCTCAGTTGTTTTGCTCTTCTGCTGATATTATTGACATCCATGCTATTCATGAGACAAAGGAATGTAGTGTTTTCTTTGATGTGGTGCAAGCTGAATGACTCATTGCAAATCCAACAACGTTTTCAGAAATGATCACATATGTAAACAGTCTGATTTTGCACAGCAGGGTGCATGAAAATAAGACTTGGCAAGTGCATGAACTTTGCAAGAGCTGAAAGATTTTGGCATTGGCACTTGAAATAGGACTGTTATCCTGATCTTATCAGCCAGGAGTCGTCTTGCCTCACTTTGGTTTCTTTGGACCGAAAATGATGGAGCCCTAGAACAGACATAAAAAGTATAGATGTTTAAACTGAATTTATATGTCTTTGCTTTACTTCTCTTTGACCTCCACCCTCCACATCTTTTTCCATCTGCCTTTTTCTTTTCTGTACTCTTTCTTTCTTCTTTCTCAGCATCTATGCCACAAATTTTTATTCCAAAAGTAGCTTCAAATAAGCATCGACAGCCTAAAAACAAATTGGTATTAATTCAATATTATTGTAGCACTAGCTCAATGAGTCTAATGTAATAATTGTCTAAAGTACCTTACAGTGCAATATAAATTAAATGCATTTATTTTTGTACTAGTTTATAAATGACTTTGATGAGGAATATGAACTCCCCTTGAATCGGTAGCAATAAAAAAGAATCATAAATTTTTAATTCTACTGTTTGCTTAGTGTTGCAAAAGATGGGTCTTGAACCAAATTTCTCTGGATGTCTTCTCTTTGGTCTTGTTCAATCATTCAGCTTGAAGTTATGAAGACAAGAGCTGTTTATGAAATTAATTATTTGTGTTACCATTCCTAAATAAATAAATAAATCCATTGATACATGGACGTAGCTTGTTGAATATAATGACAATGATATTCAATGCCTAACTATTTTAGACGTAGAATTACATTTTAAAATTAATTTAGGGAGAAACGCTCCGTCTGTGTTGGCTTAGTCATTTAGACTGCTGGATCTGCACACGCTCCCCTGCCAGGTTTTTTAATGTTGACATTTAATTTGTCCATTTTGTGGAAAAATATTGACTTCAGGGAATGAATCGCTATCTCAAAGATTGACGGGTATTAATAACCTTAACGATGTTAGGGTTTCAACCCCCCTCACTGAATGACCAGTCACTGACTTTCCTTTAAGGTCACCATCTTTATTACTACAGCAACGATAGCAGTGATGGAGGCTCACTTTGCAGCATTAAAAACGGCTTTTAGCAGCCGTGTCTCTGTGAGGGCTATTTGTAGGCTGTCATTGTTACTCAAGTAGGTCTTAACAGGTACGAATCAACAGGTGGTTGAGGTCTTTCTGGCAGCCACTATTCGATGTTGAAAAAGAAAGCACCGCCACCAAACACAGCTACCTTAAACTGAACAGATGAACTGTTCCCGAGTTGCACAACAAGCTATATGTTTCAGTGTTTGTACAATGTAACTGACATTCTGATTTCTACGTTACCATCCCCTCTCCTTTTGTTTTCTTTTTCTGCTCTTTGCTCCCCCATCTGCTGCTCTTAAAAGCTTTCCTGGAAAGCTTCATTTGGCTTCAGATCTGAAAATTGAACATGACGTACATGTGCGAAAAGGGGTGAGAGCTAAGGAGATTATATATAATAATCATTTAGTTATCCAACCACACTTAAGATGTTTTTTTTCCCCCAAGTTAATTTTTTTTGGTAAAAGAGACGAGTCCAAACCTTTTCGTAATTGTTTTGAATTATGGGTATTGCTGGCTAATGTTTATGCAGCTGCAGAGTGTCTGATTCTGAATGCGTGCACACACAAACACATGGGCTTGTTTAGTTAATTAAGCCTCCCTTCTGCTCTTCATACTTCCTCCTCTTTCAGCCTCTACTGTGCCGTAGTTCATTAAAGTCCTCAACTTCATTTACGCCGTCTGCTTCCTGTCCCCCCTATGAGCCTTCATTGTGTATCCACCCCCACACCCCACCATCCTCCCTCTTCCACCCATCTGTCTCCCTCTTTCTGTCCTTTTGCCTCAGTGCTCAGCTGGAATGACGACCAGAAATGGCAGCCTGCAGGGCATCCCCACTTCTGCTCTGTGTTTGTGTGGTGCTGGAGAGGTTAGATGAATGTGTGATTATTTTTTAAGAAGTCCTTAATGTTTTTAATCTGTGTCTGAGTGTGATTTGAATATTTATATTTCCATATATTAATTTTCATTCAGAATGCACTTACAAAGGTCTGTTATATCATATCAGCATCATTTAGGAGGTTTGTAAGCTACAAGTGTATAACGATTGTGGTTAAGTGATGCAATTCAAATTGATCAATGGTTGGTATGACAGGAAAAATGCATCATTTTTTCAAATTCTTTCTCATTAAAACTCTCACTGTGAAACATTTTACATGAACAGGCTCTCCACAGAGTCTGACTCTTTGCATGCTTTGAGAAATGAAAGTTTATTGGAAAAATATTCTTAACCCTAAAATGTTTGCAGTATGTTTTTCTCCCCCCCCGCATTATTTAGTCGCTATTTGTATGATTGCTGTTGGCATGAATGACCTCCTGGATTGTTCTCTGTTATAACAGAAGAAAGGTAGCCTTTTACCAAACCTCCCCTTTTGTGTCAGCACTGTGTGATGGATGTAAAGGGTGTGCAGTGTTGTCCTTTGCACATTCGGTTTCTGGGACTCCAGACACCATCCCCTGTACAGAGCTCTAACATATGACCTTAAAGCAGACTGGAGTCTCCACCACAGACTGGTAAAAGATATGCACCAGCCTGCTTTTTATATATATATATATATATATGTGTGTTTTTAAATGTGTGTTATACACAAAAAGCAATTCTGCTTTAGTTATAATTGCCTCAGTAATGCTAACCGCACATCTACATGACTACATGACTCCGTTCACTGTTGTATGAGTCTTACTTTTGGTTCCTTGGCAAGCTAGCACAGCTTGACCTAGACTGTTATCGTCAGCCTGACAGAGCATGCAGAGTAGACTTTGTCAAAGCTCATAAATGCTCGGCATTGGTCAGACAGGTGGAATCTGTAGTCATTGCTGTGTGTATAGTGGAGTGTTTTTTTGGTGGGATTCAGTGATCTGTGTCACCATCGTTAGGAGGTAGCTCTATAGATTTTTTTTTTGTTTGTTTGTTTGTGGGAAGCGTATTGTTTGGGAATACAGTACAATCATATATCGGGATTCCTGACCTGTTGTACATTTATGTTCAATATGGCAAACTAAGTCAAACCACAGACCAACTTTGATTGAACTTTGTGAATGCCATATCACATGTAACATTAGAGACTAATTGTTTTTTTATTCTAAAAAAGCAAGATTTTCTGCTGTTGGCTGCCTCTGTGAACATTTGTAAATCAAACAAGGTACCAAAAGTACCTTGTTTGAATTAAAGCAGAAAACATAATTTAGTTGTATGGTGTTTTGAGTGACTGGTAGAACATATTTATGTGTTATGGGGTGTGTGTGTGTGTGTGTCTGTGTGATAGTTGACAAGTTGACAGTGGTTGGCTGCAACATGCTGATGGAAATGATATCAGAGGGCAAGAATATGTGGGGTAAGGTTAGGGAGATCTTTGGGCAGTGGTGATGATACACACTTGCTATGACCACAGCTGAAGGCAAAAAGAAATGACATCCAATTTCGTGACTGCTTGCTCCTCCACTCTTGAAGGCAACCAGATGACTGACCCCCTTACTCTTTTTCTAAAATACACAGTCGGAACCTTGAGGGTCATGAAGTTACCAATCAAACCACCAATCTTGATGTAATTCATTGAATTAAATAGAATCTACTGCTAATTTTGTGGGTTTCATTTAAACTTGTCCCGTCTCCAGTTGTCTTCTTCAGACACAGAGGCATGCTCACAATAAGTCCTT